ATTGCCCCCTCCTAAGACCCCCCAACTTTCCCCCCAGGACCCCCACCCCCTACCTGTCCCCTGACAAACTCCCAGGACTCCCATGCCTCTCCAACTGCAGCCTGTCCCCTGACTGCCCCCCCAACCCCTGACCCCATCTAACCCCCCCTTCTGCCTGCCCCTGTCTGCCCCCCCAAACCTCTGCCCCATCCAACCCTCCTGCCCCCTTACCGTGCCACTCAGACCAGCGTGTCTGGCTCCACACAGCACCAGACACACTGCTGCATATATGCTGCCGTGCTCCCCCGCAGAGCCACAGCCCTCTCCCCCCACCCCCCAGCACCTGCCTTCCAGATTTGAACACCTCAAAATTCAGGAGTGCTCAAGCTCAGTTTGGGCAGCTGTTACTTCATTTCTCCCAAATCAAATATACTGATCCACTGTAACTTGCTGTAGAAAAAGTAGGATAAAAATGAGCAAGAAATGCTTCCCAGTGTTATTAGGACTGGAATTGGTATTTTCAACAGCCATTGCCTTTTTTGTTTGTTTGTTTGTTTAAAAGGAAGACAGTGATATTGCATTGACAAATTCCCCATAGAAAGAAAGAGAGGAACAAAAGAATAATAAAGGCACCTCAACTTTTCTTCATTATGTAGGACAGTCTTATAATATGCATCCAGATATCCTCCAATTACACAAGCTGAAAATTGTTCCACTTTACTGCAGTTCTGTAACCATATGGGAACCAATCCTGTCTGTGTTCTGTGCACATCTAAAATTCCTGCTGAATGACCTGCCGTGGGAGCGAGTTACCAGTGACCCAGGGCTGCGGTGGAAGGAGGGTGCAGGTGGCGGCGGGGAGAGAGCCCAGGGCTGGGGCGGCAGGAGGTGTATGTGTGGGGCAATGGTGGGGGGGAATGAGGGAGCCCAGAGCTGGGGTGGCAGAGGGTGTGGGTGGGGGGGGAAGAGCCCAGGGCTGGGGCAGCAGGGGGGTCCGGCGAGGAGCCCAGGGCTGGGACGGGGGGCAGCCAAATTTTTTTTTTGCTTGGGGCGGCAAAAAACCTAGAGCCAGCCCTGATTCTTGACCAGATTTAACCTAACGGAAAGACATCAGTTCCGGAAGTGCAGAGATGCTGAAGGCTCTCCAGGAGGGCACAGCCGGACCTCTCAATTGTCCTCCAGAGACTCCGCTTTAATTCTGGTGAGTAAGGGCGAGGGGCACAAGGGGGAATAAGGGGTTTCAGCACTCAGGGTATCATCGCCTCGATATCAGATGCTCTGCTGCCTGGTGGAGCTCACACCCCCAAATTAGGAACCCAGGGATAGATTCACAAAACAGCTTGGGTGTGGTGAGGCTGAGTGTCACCCTGCCTAGCATTTAGGAAGCTGGAGAATCACTGGGGCTCACAATGCATGAGTCTGGCACCTTAGCTCCCTATGCAACGAGTGAGAGACGGGTGCTACGAATGTGACTCACAAAAGGCAGCCCACTAGGTGGGGAGATGCCAAAGGAAGGTGGCAAGGAGAGGGGTTTCCTCTTTTGCAGACAGGTTCTTAATCCCATTGGCAGAGAGGCACCTGCCTCTCCTTGAGATTCTCAGCTGCCAACCATCCCTTGGCGTTAGACACCTATGTCATTTTGGATGGGACAAGAAGCAGTCTCTCCTAATGTTTAGTCCAGTGGTTAGCGTCCTCATTTGAGATGTGGGAGACTCCTAGTTCAAGTCCCCCACCCCCACAATCCCTGAATGGGAGGATGGATTTGAACAGACTTTTTAGACTCATAGACTGTAAAATCAGAAGGGATCATCGAGATTATCTCATCTGTCCTCCTGCACGTTGCAGGCCGCAGAATCTCACCCACCCACTGCTGTAAAATGCCACTTACCTCTGGTTGAGTTTATGACATCCTTACATCATGATTTATAGAGAGAATCCACCTTTTACTCTAGTTTAAACCTGCAAATGGTCCATACCCTAGCTGCAGAGAAATGTGATCCTCCCGCCCAAAAAAGTCCCTGCCAATATGACCTGGGGGGAAATTCCTTCCCAACTCCAAATATGGCAATCAGTTGGACACTGAGCATATGGGTGAGACCCACCAGCCAAAGAATACTCTGTAGTAACTCAGAGCCCTCCCCATCTAGTGTTCCATCACCAGCTGTTGGGCAGATTTTCTACTAACAGGCTCAGATATGCCACATGACATTATAGGCAGTCCCAACAGACCATCCCCTCCATAGATTTATCAGGCTCAGTCTTGAGGCCAGTTAGGATTTCTGCCCCCACTGCTCCTCATGGGAGGCGATTCCAGAACTTCACTCCTCTGATGGTTAGAATTGTCTACCTATCAGGTGAGTGCCAAGGCCACTGGGCTCTGCGTTATTCTGGTGCAGGGCTCCCTCTGTCTCACTAGGTGAAATCCTCCACTGTGGAGAGTGAATTTAAAAAGGCATTGGAGCAGGAAAATCAGAATATTTTGGCAAAATCAAAATTTTCCTATGGAAGATTTAAGTTTTCCCAAAACTTCATTTTCCATCGACAAATAGGTTGATGGAAAATTCCCAGTCAGCTGTAGACACAGTATCTGGAATTATAGACCTTCTTAAACAGGAGGGGTGAAAATCTAGCCCGATTGAAATCAACGGCAAAACTCCTATTGACGTCAGTGAATCCAGGATTTCGCCCAACATGGCTGTTGTAGAAAACAACTTCTACCAGAAGTACAAACAGATTAGCTCCCACACATCTTGAGTTCCAGCCTTGTCTGCATTGTTGTTTACCAGGGGTCACACAATGTCTGGAACTGTATACTATCCACAGAGCTGACCAGTGGTGGAATAACATTGTTTTGCATTCATCAAATACTTCTGCCCCCTTTTGAATCAAAAAGTATCTAGTTATATTTTGGGACCCTGGAGACATTACAGCTGGAAGTAGAAATTGATGGAGTCTGGTATTTTCCTTGATGCAATCTTGTTTATGTACAAGGAATGTAGAAAGTCGTACTTCTCTGAACACAGGAGAAAACAAGAACAAAAAACAAGCAGTTTCTTAGCTTACAGCCTCAAACCTCTTTAGTCAACACCAACCCAAAAACTTTCTCTTTCTGGCTTTTCCCAGGGTCTCAGTAGGCTCACGGGCTACTGCTTGGCTTTCTTGCTTTTTTTGCTTCTGCCTCTCTTTCTGTTCCTGTATGTTATCAGTTTCTGTGTGTTCTCCCTTCCCCTCCCCACCCCCACCCCCAGATGCTTCCCCCTCCACACACAGAAAACACAAACAATACTCAGCATCAGCTCTCCATCCATTCAGTCCAAACTCCTGGGCAGGATCACAACCTCCTTTTGCCTTGGGTGGGAGGCTTCTGATTAACTAATCCTAATTGAAGGGTGCATCCCACCTAACCTCAGTGAGGTTTGTGATTGATGTAGTTCCTGGTACCACTCCACATAATGAAGCCACCTGGGGAAAGTTCTTCCTTAGACCCTAAATAATCCTGAGGTTGTCATTGCTTTCCTCAGTGCCTCCTTCACCATGTTGTTCCGTAGGGTGTATATGATGGGGTTCAGTAGTGGGGTCAGGACACAGTAGAAGAGTGACACCACCTTGTCCATGTTAGAGGACTCCATCACAGGTGGCCGGGCATACATAGAAAGGGCTGAGCCATAGAATATACCTGTGACTGCAATGTGGGCACCACAGGTGGTCAGAGCTTTCTGGAGACCACTCTCTGAAGGCGTCCGCCATGCTGTTCGTATGACGCAGCTGTAGGAACCAGTGGTGAGGAGGAAGGAGCTCCCAGCTACGGCCCATGTCAGGGTGAAGCACACAAGCTTGCTGAGATGCGTGTCTGAGCAGGAGAGCTTGGCCAGGGGGACAAAGTCGCAGAAGAAGTGGTCAATCTCGTTGGGCCCACAGAACGACAGCCTGGATACAGCCACGGTGAGGATGGAGGAGGCCAGGAAGCCAAACACCCAAGTGACCACTGACAGCTTGAGGCACAAGATGTTGCACATGATGGTGGAGTAGCGCAAGGGGTGGCAGATGGCCAAGTAGCGGTCATACGCCATCACCGCTAGAAGGAAGAACTCAGTGGAACCCATGGAGAAGAAGAAAAACATCTGGGCTATGCATCCACGGACAGAGATTGACCTGTTCCCTGGCAGAAGCCCAGCCAGCAACTTGGGCACCGTCACGGAGGTGTACCAGATCTCCAGGAAGGAGAGGTTGCTGAGTAACACATACATAGGGCAGTGGAGGCTCGGACAACTCCTGACTATGGCAATGATGGAAGTGTTGGTGGCAATGGTCAGGAGGTAGATGATCAGGAACATCACAAAGAGGATCCACTGCAGCTCCGGGGATGCAGAGAAACCCATGAGGATGAACTCAGTCACTTCAGTTTGGTTAGCCCCTTCCATGGTGCTCGCAGCTGTTTGATCCATCGGAGAAAAAATATATATGTTAATATGAGGATTTCCAGAGCAGAGCCAAATCCTGAGAGGCACAGAGATAGATAGATAGATAGGAGTGTGAGCACTCTGAACTGCTTTGTTTTTGACAATTCCCCTCACAAAAGTCATTATATAGGGCATTAAAAATCTAATTGCATGTGCTCTTTAGTAGATCAATAAATTAATGAAGAGCTAAAATTTCTAATGCTCTGTGAATATCTGGTACCTTAGATTTATCCTGGATGCACTCTAGATACTTCTTCTTGTGTCAAATTAATGCCCTCCGATTAAATACCAGCTCATGCGGGTACGATTGTCAATATCTCTGCTGTCTCTTCACTTAGGAATGGAGTTTGGAGTTGCAAAGTAGGACTTGAACTTCTCCGCATGCCTGAAGCCTGTCTGTCCCAAATTGGGACATTTATAGTGAGTGAAGGACACATCCAGGGAATGCACTGGGAATCTGAGAGCTGAGGGACATATCTGCTGTTGCATTACCTAATTACAATATGATGTGTGCATTTTTCCCCAGCTCCTACTTTACCTCAGAGGCGGACGAGTCTGCCATAGCCTGAGCTAACAGCCTTTGGGATTTTAGCTCAGCCTGGAGGGGTTCAGAACCCAGAGGTCCTGGGTTCACTGCGCCCACCAGATCTGAGACCCTCACGTAACATGAGGTGACGTGAACAAGGATTTCAGCTGTGACATGGGTTCCCCAGCCCCAACCATCAGTGCCACAGGAAAGCAGGGGGATTCTAGCCTACTTGTGCAGCTTTTAATTATGCTGGGGCAGAGGCAGGTGGATGGTCCATTGGGAAGAGCTGCAAGGCAAGAGGCTGGGATTCTGCCCACACACCTGTCCACTTTCTTCCTGGGTGGGCAAATCATGTCGGGCCAGATTTTCAGATGTATGGATTCATAGATGCCAAGGCCAGAAGGGGGCAATGTGATCATCTAGTCTGACCTTCTGTACAACCGAAGCCAGAGCACTTCTCCCAAATAATTCCAGTCTTCATTTAAAAACTATCCGTGATGGAGAATCCACCAGAACACTTGGCAAATTGTCCCAATGTTTAATTACTCTCCCCATTACAAATGTAGGAATTTGTCTACCTTCAACTTCCAGGCATTTCAGTGCCCAAAGATACATACAGGTGTCTGTGGGATTTTCAAAATGCCTTCACTGGTTACCCACCTAACTCCCATTGAAATCACACAAATGCCCACCGTACATGCCAGTGCCAAGCATAGGAACAATCCCCCCGTCTCCCCCCCAACACCTACACAGTTCTGCCATATGGCCAAGCAGATAAACCATACACATCTAACTCCCGTATCCATCTATATCCAACACACACACACCACTACCCAAAGGCCTGTTCTAAACTTAACAATTAGATTGTCATAACTACATCAATCGGGATGTGAAAAAAAACCACCCGTGACTGACATGCTATGCTGCCCTAACTCAGGTAGTTACGCTGATGGAAGACTGTTTCTGTCAATGTAACTAGTGGTGTTCCCACACTGATGGAAAAACCCCTTACATTGGTGTCAACTGCTTCTATGACGTGGGTTTATACTAGCATAGCTACACTAATGTAGCTCTGCCAACATAGTCTCTGTCTTGTAGACACAGCCTCAGTCTGAATTCTTCCAAGCCTGTTTGTGTTTGCTACTCATGGCAATAACTGAACTATTTATTAATTAATATTTCCTCTTAGCAGTGAGGAACATCAGGGTTTAATTTCACCTCGGCCAGGGACAGAAGTTTCTTGCTAATGTCTTCTTCAAGGCTCCCTTCACTTCTTTGTTCCTCAGGGTATATATTACAGGGTTTAACAGTGGTGTCATGACTGTGTACATCAGGGAAATCATCTTATCAGTGTCTGGAGAATAGCTGGACCTGGATTGCAAGTAGGTGAAAAGGGCTGTTCCAAAAAATAATGTCACCACCATCAGATGTGCAGAGCAGGTGGAGAAGGCTTTGTGACGGCTCTCAGCCGAGGGCATAATTAGGATGGTGGAGATGATACAGATGTAGGAGACCAGAATCAGCAGGAACGGCCCCATGATAAACAGCATGGACACCCCAAACAGCGCCATCTCATTTATGGAGGTGTCTGCACAGGCCAGCTTCACCACGGGCAGGATGTCGCAAAAGAAGTGGTGAATTTGTTGAGGGCCACAGAAGGGCAAAGTGAAGATCCAAGTGGTTTGTGCTGCTTCCACCAGGAAACCAGTGACCCAAGAGGCAGCATCCAGGCAGATACAGACCTTGCTGCTCATGATCAGCGTGTATTGCAAGGGATGGCATATGGCAACATAGCGGTCATAAGCCATGGTCGCCAGGAGGCAGCATTCTGTGTGGCCCAGGATGGTGAAAACATACATCTGGGATGCACAACCCACGATGGAGATGCTTTTGTGCTCTACAAGGAGGTGCACCAACATTTGTTGGGCCACACTGGTTGTGTAACACATTTCCAAGAAGGACAAGTTCACCAGGAAGAAATACATGGGGGTGTGGAGGGAGGGACTGAGTTTTATTAGTAGAATAATGACTATGTTCCCAATGATGGTGAGGAGGTAGATCAATAGAAATACCAGAAACAGAAGAACCTGCAGCTCCTGGAGGTGCAAGAAAGCCACAAATGTGAGTTCAGTGAGAACGGTTTGGCTTTCATTCAGTTTTTCTTTTTATATGGTATCTGTCGGGAAATTATGGACAAGAGGAAGAAAGAAGTAGCAACAGATTTAGAAGAAGTAGAAGAAGAACCTGTGGAAAATGCATGAAAGTGAACAATAAGCACCAAAAATCAGATGAAAGTTGGACACTGAATCGGTTTCTCCTGCTAGTCTTTTTTGTTTAGTTTCTATGGCTGTAAAATATTTATCATGAACAAATGACAGATGCAGAAGAAAATAACTCATCATTGATTGATTCTGTGCAATTTCAGTAGCCCGTGCCATGTGACCACTGCACTCAATATGTATTCTACAGCAAAGTCCAGACTAGAATATCCCAGTCCCTGGACCATTCATACCAATTAGTTGCTTTTTCACATTCCTTCTGTGTGTACTGTATCTAAGATATCTAGAAGGCTAATGGCATTTTGGGCTGTATAAGTAGGGGCATTGCCAGCAAATCGAGGGATGTGATCGTTCCCCTTTATGCGACATTGGTGAGGCCTCATCTGGAGTACTGTGTCCAGTTTTGGGCCCCACACTACAAGAAGGATGTGGAAATATTGGAAAGAGTCCAGCGGAGGGCAACAAAAATGATTAGGAGTCTGGAGCACATGACTTATGAGGAGAGGCTGAGGGAACTGGGATTGTTTAGTCTCCAGAAGAGAAGAATGAGGGGGGA